GAGGGGAGGGGGGGGGGGGGGGGGCGATAAATTGGCAAAATTCAAAGTTAACAAAAATCAATAACCTTCCTGTCTGCTAGCATTTACTGATGGAGAGAGACCAAAGATTCTCACTGTCAGCACCTCCTCTCAACACATCCACGATAAACTGGAGATAGAGAGAACGCACAAAGTGATGAATACAAAGAACGTGGGCACATCCATAACCACACGACCTTGACCATTCTCATCGTCATCATCACCTTTGCCCTCTGACCTCGCAGCTCCGATAACCCCTTCATTTCCAGAAGAGGGTTTGTTCACACGATATCCCGGGTTCGGCTGTTTCACGTTTGATTCCCTGTCTTCGTAACTGTTTCTGACATCATCATCATCATCTGCGTCGCCACTGGGAGATTCTTTACCACTGCCGATGACGATGTCAGTGTGGGTGAAGTCGTGGCGGTTGTCGCCGTAGTCCTCATCATCATCATCCGGGTCGTAGTCCCCCTGTGGGTACGGGTAGGACTTGTCTTCGTAGCCCATACCCACACAGGCCGGGGGCATGAAGTTCTGCAGGTTGGGGGGGGGGGGAGAGGGAAGGATGATTAATCATAATATAATAATATTATATTTATGAAAGCTCGTCACTTTGGTCGACTTAAACTTCTGAACCACTTAACTTTTGAATTTGAAAAAAAAAAAAAAAAAATCATTTAAAGGGTGCACAGTTATATTAATTAAGGAGTCTGAAGTCACTGCAGTTTTCAGTTTTAAAAAAAATAGATTCATTTACATCTAATCTTGAGAAAGTCTGTCTTATAAGACGCCATTGTAAACAAGTGAGGTTTTCGTTCAAACAGTGCACACAGATTTCTCCCACCTTTGAAATTCTGGAGTGTACAACAATGAAAGTGGAATAGAGGATTAATCTCTCTCTCTCTCTCTCTCTCTCTCTCTCTCTCTCTCTCTCTCTCTCTCTCTCTCTCTCTCTCTCTCTCTCTCTCTCTCTCTCTCTCTCTCTCGCTCTCTCTCTCTCTCTCTCTCTCTCTCTCTCTCTCTCTATATATATATATATATATATATATATATATATATATATATATATATGTATATATATTATATTTGTTCCGTTCTTTGAACGGGTACTGAGCCTGTGAATTATATAATAACAAGTAATAAAAGTAATATCAAAGATAATAAACAGAAGGGAAATAGGCATGGGTTTAGAAGTATAGGAGAAGAAAAGGTAATATCAGAGATTATGACAAGAAGGGAAATACATGTATTAAGTTACGGAATTACGAGAGATGAAGAAAGTATAGTTAAATGACGATAACAACAAAGGGAATGGGTTGATCTGGAATGGTGGAAGAAGCATTCTGAAACAACCTCAACTTCCTGGGGAGCATACAGTGCAAGCATTTATAGGTGCTAAAACACTAACATACTGACAAGATCTTTCGCTGTCTATGGCCAGGTACCCATTCCCACCTGGGTGAACTGAGGAAAATTTGTATAAAGTGCTTTCCCCAAGGATACAACGTCGGGCCTGCGACTCGAACCCTTGAACCCGCAACCTCACGATTACGAGTTCGGTAGCCTAACCACTAGATATATAAAGCTGAACTTGCCTGTACCACATCCAGGAGCAGATTGGTCATGTGTTCGGGGCAGTACTTGCTGTAGGGATCTCTCAGACAGTCTGTGATGTCTTGTGTGAAACTGGGAAGTGAAGGTAGAGAAACAGAATTATTGGAGAACGTAACTATTGAAGTGTAGAAGAAATACTAGATGCAGGGAGAACAGAATACATTAGATTACAAAATTTCTACAGGCCGACATTTATTCACACACACACACTACACTCAAACACAAACACACACATACACACACACGCACATACACACACACACACACATACACACACACACACATAAAAAATATGTATAAAATTTAAATATACTCTTTCGTTACACATATCTATCTATCTATCTATCTATCTATCTATCTATCTATCTATCTATCTATCTATCTATCTATCTATCTATCTATCTATCTATCTATCTGTTTGTCTGACTGTCTGCCTGTCTAGATCTAGATCTATATATCTATCTATCTATCCGAGATCAAAGCACAAGCAGTGACACTTGAAACTTTCTCATCACTTAAACAAGGATCAAAATCTCTAAAATGCGCTGGACTTAGGAAAAAACAAAAACGATTGGACACGACATGCACTGCTCTTGCCACTGTTAATCTTTTTAAGGTTATATTGTCAAAAAAGTTAGAGCTATAAACATGAACAATCAACACCTGGTCCTATTTGCGTTTTTGGTACATGCACACAGCAAAGCTTTCGTTAATCTCTTTACTCACTTCCTGTTTACTATGGTCCTAATGAGCTGCCGAGCACTGACACCACAACACCAGCACATACACACGCGCATGTCCACTTGTTCACAACACCCCATTCATCCCCCCCCCCCCCCAACTCCTTTTCAACCCTTAATTATTCACTGCTGGTTTCAGCAGGAACGAATTTATCAGGGGAAACAACTACTACGGAACTGAATAAGACTCAAGGAATATTCATGGTTATTTCCCTTCCCAAACTATCATGGAAAGCATAAATGCTGATAATTAACATTACAGAACTTTTCACTCATGTGCCTCTGTTCTATGAGACTTAGACGTTATAGTGTCGCTTTTGAGCTCATGGGATATATCCCGAAAAATACTGTTTTGAGATAATCGAAAATAAGGTTTTTGCTCCTTGTTCAGTTCTTTTTTTTTAAAGAAAAGGAGAGTTTTCTCAATAACCAAGGAAATAATTATATTCACCAGTGAAACAAAACTTCTCATATATAGGGTGGGCAATGCTCGTTTCTGGTGTAGGTCAAAATTTCTGGAAACCCCAGAAATCTGTGTTAGCCTGCTTGTCCTTAAAAGCGACTGTAAATAGTGTAAGAACATTGTGTCTTCCAACATCTGATTATTGTTCGGCTGTGGTTATTTTGTACATGTTAAAGAAGATAATAATATATCAAAATAATAATATATGAGTTGTACCCACGAGCACCCTAGCCTTATGGGGGCCTCTAACCTCTGTGAGTCCGGCACGTGTGTGTGTGTGTGTGTGTGTGTGTGTGTGTGTGTGTGTGTGTGTGTGTGTGTGTGTGTGTGTGTGTGTGTGTGTGTGTGTGTGTGTGAATCTGTGCGTGTCAATGCGTGCCTACCAGCCCCAACGGGTGCGAAAGGGCATCGAAGATCTTTAGTCCCCTTA